TCACTTATCAGAATACGGCCCTCTGGTGGCCATATTTTGTCACCAATGCAGCTTGCTTATGGTGCACCTCCGAATATCTCACATTTGAGAGTGTTTGGTTGTGCAGTTTACGTCCCAATTGCTCCTCCACAAAGGACCAAAATGGGTCCACAGCGTCGTTTGGGTATCTATATAGGGTTTGATTCGCCCTCTATAATAAGATACCTTGAACCCCAGACGGGTGACGCATTTAAAGCACGTCTTGATGATTGTGAATTTGTTGAGGATTCATTTCCTAAACTTGGCACACAGTCCAGGAAGCCTGACGCTTCTAAGACCATTTCTTGGAACACCAAGACTTTGTCTCATTATGATCCGCGTACTAGTCAATGTGAAGATGAGATCCTAAAGATTCTTCATCTTCAGAATACAGTACATTTACTTCCGGATAAATTCACTGATAACCAGAAGATTGTCAGATCACACGTCCCTGCTGTCAACACGCCAGCTAGGATTGACATCCCCAAAGATGGATGCAATCCGCCGGCAGCAGAAACGGCTGTACCTCAATTGAAAAGAGGACGCCCACCAGGTTCGAAGGACAAAGTCCCTCGTAAAAGAAAAAATCCTGGAGAAATAAAAATGAACCCAACACAGGATACTGAGCTCAGACCAGCTTCCTCTCCCCTCCTAGATTCCCCTGAAGAGGAACAAATAGGAGAAACATCATTAAATTTTGTACGTACTGAGGAGGTACTGGACAGAAAAAGCACAGTCGTCGACGACGACTTTGCGTTCGATATTGCCGTTCACGTCACTGAATACGACGATGACATCGAACCACGGTCTCTAGCGGAATGTAAACACAGAGATGATTGGCCAAAGTGGAACGAGGCAATAGGAGTAGAGCTGGACTCACTCTTGAAACGCGAAGTCTTTGGACCAGTAGTCCAAACACCTAAAGGTGTAAAACCTGTGGGATATAAGTGGGTCTTCATCAGAAAAAGAAATGAACACAACGAGGTTGTGCGCTACAAAGCACGGCTTGTAGCACAAGGTTTTTCCCAAAGACCGGGAATAGACTATGAAAAAACATATTCTCCGGTTATGGATGGGAATACCTTCCGATTCCTAATAAGCCTCTCATCTCTGGAAGGCCTAGAAATGCAGCTCATGGACGTTGTGACTGCATATCTATATGGCAATATAGATAAAGATATCTATATGAAACTCCCTGAAGGATATAAAATTCCACCAGAGATAGCAGATAGACCTCGGGACGTCTATTCTGTTAGGCTTCAAAGATCATTATATGGTCTTAAGCAATCGGGGAAAATGTGGTATAACAGACTAAGTGAGTTCCTTGCTACGCAAGGATTCACAAATGATAAAGTCTGCCCGTGTATCTTTATAAAAAGATCGGGAACAGGATTCATTATAGTCGCCGTCTATGTCGACGACTTAAATCTCATTGGATCTCCTGCAGAGATCGCTGGGATATCTGAAAGCCTTAAGAATACTTTTGAAATGAAAGACCTAGGCAAAACAAAGTATTGTCTTGGCTTACAGATCGAACACCTTAAGGGTGGTATCCTGTTACACCAATCCACATATACACGGAAATTACTTAAAAATTTCCGAATGGATAAATGTCATCCTCTTAGTACACCAATGGTTGTTCGATCATTGGATGTAAAGAACGACCCCTTCCGTCCGCTGGAAGAGGGGGAGGAAATGCTAGGTCCTGAAGTACCTTACCTCAGTGCCATTGGAGCACTATTATATCTGGCTAACTGTACGCGTCCCGATATAGCGTTTTCAGTTAACCTACTAGCCAGATACAGTGCAGCGCCCACAAAGCGCCACTGGAATGGAGTTAAGCATCTTCTGCGCTACCTCCAAGGGTCTATAGACCTGGGATTATATTTCCCGAAGGGTGGGTCTCCCACCTTAATTGGTTATTCAGATGCAGGTTACAGGTCTGATCCCCACACCGAGAAATCACAAACCGGATTTGTGTTTACATTCGGTGGTACGGCCATCTCCTGGAGGTCTGTCAAGCAAACCACTGTAGCAATCTCATCCAACCATTCCGAACTCCTCGCGATCCATGAAACCAGCAAAGAATGTGTTTGGCTTCGTTCTGTCATTCAGCACATCTTAGTGTCTACCGGCCTGAAGACTGGTGACCTTGAGCCAACTACTATATTTGAAGACAATGCAGCCTGCGTTGCTCAACTTCAGTCTGGCTTCATCAAGGGTGACAAGACGAAGCACATATCTCCCAAGTTTTTCTGGACGCACGATCTTCAAGAGGAGGAGCAAGTTAAAGTACAGCAGATCCAATCATGTAATAATTTAGCTGACTTGTTCACTAAGGCTCTGCCTAGATGTACTTTTGTAAAACTTGTAAAAGGAATAGGGATGAGACATCTGAAAGACCTACAAGCCTGAAGCTTGTATGGTTCAGGGGGAGTAACCTATGGGTTGTACTCTTTTTCCTTAGGCTGATGGTTTTTTCCCACTGGGTTTTCCACAGCTAAGGTTTTAACGAGGCAAACAAGTTTACTCTGGATCCAGAAGTATCCACCCCATTAGCTTTACGAACTCTGAAGTGTTCATAAGCTAAACCCAAGGTAATGGATGGATAAGGGGGAGTATTATGAGATGAGGGAGGCCTTTGGCCTCCCCCTCATTATCCCTCCATTCACACCCCATTATGGTGATGTAACACCCCATTAAGTGAGGGTGACTCTTGGGTACTCAACCTATTCACATTGACTATCTATAAATATACATCATAGGCCTTTGGCCTATGTAAGAGTTTCAAACACCAAAGAAATTATTGATAAAATTATTTTTTGAATTTTTTTTAAGAGAAGAAACAAGAGTGACCCAAAGCTCCAGTTATTGACCACACCACTGATGGCGGGCCCTGAAATTTTTTAAACTTCTTTTATCCTTAGATAAAGAGAAAAATATTTGTTGATAAATGGATATTCTGAGAGTAAAAGAATCAAAATACTTTCACTCAGGGGTCTTTCAACAATTTGGATGCTAGTACGGGATGCCTATAACAATAATGGAACTGCAAAAGGTCTATCTGTAATTAGGCGATAATAAAAGATGTCTATCTACAATTCATATTTTTTTAATAGTGAAGTACTATTTTAAAATAGTTCAGACCCACCTTTTTAGCTCATGTTTGTTTTCTTATCCATACTATTTTTAACAAGGGGTTCATTAATTTAAAAAAACGGGGACTAATAATCTAATATAAACCCACTCCACCCTCACCTTTACAATCCGGGTATTAGCCATATATTTAGGGGGAATAAGATTTTGTTGACGAAAACACCCATATCCTCTTTAATTCCTTCGATCTTTTTTTTTTTTTTTTTCCTCCCATTCAGTTCTCTCCAAAACTTACACAAATCTACAGAGCTTCATTAGATGATGACGTTTTTGCTTTGACTAGGGTCGAATGAGACAAAATCATACTGTCCGATAGAGATGAATTTAGGAGCAAACTGATCGATATGGTCGGTTGACTACGTCTTTTGTGTCTCCCACCGCACAAAGCATTCGATAACTTTCAAAATCTCATTAAAACAGCAATTTTTTTTTTTTTTTTTTTTGTTATTTTTTGAGTGGGGGAATGAATCAAGGCAATGTTAAGCACCTGAAAAGTACTATTGTGACGCATGAAAGTTACCTTTTAAAAGACTATTTATTTAATGTTAATAGGCTCGGAAAACTTGTCTTGCTTTCGTTTAATTATCTGGAGAGTGAGTTTTCGGTTTAGGTTTTGTTGCGTTGGCAGTTGGTGTGGGGATTATGGTTGCGGTTTTTGAGCACAAATAATTGAGCAGCAGTTTTCAAAGGTGACTTCAGGATGATACCAAGCAATTATTACAGGTTCACCCAGCTCCATTTTGTCAATTTGGCGAGTGTTAGCTGGGTTAGGTCCCCAGTTCCTATCTGTTATCAAATGGAATCCAATCACGAAAACTAAATTGCGTTCATCATTTTAGTTGCGACTCTTCAGGACATCCTCAGGAACTCTTTAAGAAGGTGACACCACAACTGATGGCGTTCATGTAAATCAAAATAAATTCTTATAGACATGCAAATCTAGCATAACCAGAATTTGTGCATGGCTAGTAAAAAATAGACCTAAACTGTGCCGCAGGTAATCCTGAGACCAAAGTCTTAAAGCCCATCCTCGCTGCGTCAAATTTCTGAAATTAAACTGAGAATTGGAGCTAGAGGGTTATAATATTGCTCTAACGTGTGCTCGCAAGCTAAACAATATTTTTCATGAACAAAAATCTGAACTCACACGGCGGTATCTTCTTACGAAGAATCATATATCTGGGCTCTTGTAATGATATCTTTTTTAAAATCTGCTTAAAATATGTGAATCAAAGTGAATGAGTCCTGTAGATCAGAATCAAAGCGGAGGCTAATGCTCATAGTCTCTAGAATATGACAAGGAAAGCATTAGCCCCTCCACAACTTCTCAGTACACAAGGGCATGGAATCTACGCAAATCTTGAATCTACAGTACAGCACTCTGCTTCTCAGGTTCTCAATGTTGCATCACACTCTATACCCCATTTGACCAAATGATCCTGCTGTCCTTCACCTTTCTACAGCACAATCATGAGTTGTTTCTTATATAACAAACAATACAAAATCCCTCAATTCCCCCACAACCTATGTACTCTCCTCTAAAACATACAATGGAAACTACGTCTATCTCAGCTCAACCAAGCCTCCCATCCCTCCCCTCACTCAACAACACCCATGAATCTCCAACACAAGCCCTCTATCAATGCATCACCACCCTCAGAGGGCATTCCTCCTACATCTCAGCCCTCGCAGTCGACGGAAACTCCCTCTACAGCGGATCCGCTGACAGACAAATCCGAATATGGACCCACACCGGACATGAATCGCGCTGCACGACAATAACATGCGAAAGCCCGATAAAATCACTGCTGATCTCTAAAGACACAATGTTCAGCTCACATCAAGACCATAAGATCAGAGTATGGCACATATATACCAAGTACACTCAGCCCTGCAGGCTGCAGGCAGTCCTTCCAACCGCCAAAGATCGCATACTGAGCCTCCTGTCGCCGGGCAAGCATGTACAGGTTCGTCGCCACAAGAAATGCACCTGGGTGCAGCATGTTGACGCAGTTTCTGCACTGGCTTTTTCTGACAACCGCACAATACTCTACTCCGTCTCCTGGGACCGTTCCCTCAAAATATGGCAACTCTCAAGCAACAAGTGCATCGAATCGGTACCCAGAGCACATGATGATGCGATCAGCGCAGTTGTCATATCAAAGTTAGGGTTTATATATACAGGCTCAGCGGATACAACCATCAGGGTATGGAAAATGCAAGAAGGTCAAAAGAAGCACAAGCTGGTCGATACTCTACAGGGGCATCGATCAGCTGTAAATGCGTTGGCGCTGAGTGTCGAGGAGTCTATACTGTATTCAGGTTCGTGTGACCGATCAGTGGTGGTTTGGGGAGGAAGAGATGGACATAGAGAAGCCACAGGAGCTCTCAGAGGGCACACCGGAGCGGTGCTGTGTTTGTCGGTAAGCGGAGATTTGGTATGCAGCGGGTCGGCCGACCGAACGGTGAGGATGTGGAGGAGAAGAGAAGATAAAGGTGAGCATTATTGTTTAGGTGTGCTTCAAGGACATGGAGGGCCTGTGAAGAGCCTGGCAATGGTGACAAGCGATGAAGATTGTGGGGATGAGTGTAGTTCGTGGTTGGTGTACAGTGGGAGCTTAGATTGTGATATAAAAGTATGGAAGATTTTGGTTCCATCTTCAGAGAGAGAATAGGATCAATTTGAGGATAATAGGGGAGTTTTATTAGGAACAGATTCAGTCTGTAGGTTTCGTGTAGTTCAAAGTGCACACAACGATATGATCAACAGCTACATTATTATTACTTGCATTATCTAGTAAAAGAGAAAATATTTTTTCTGAAATTTCTAATTTTATAGTTCTTCAATTATTAATTGATCTAAAATGTTTTTAGGAGAGTTAAACTCATTTTTACTATTTAAGAACGTTTAAAATCATGTTGTTTAAGGTTTGGGATTTTTGATAATGAGGTTTTAACCATTTAAACTTGTTGTTTATTGCCATAGTTCTCTATTAAGATTATAGTATAATGGGTGTAGAAATCCCCGAGTTTTTGTATGAGTTCGATAGCTGACAGAACCCAGAATGAGGTTCTGTCCGCCCAGCGGTCGACCGCATAGGACTCAGCGGTCGACCGTCGCGCGTTCCTGCCTGCAGAATCGTTTCTGCGCTTTGGGCGGTCGACCGGCATGACCTCTGCGGTCGACCGCCGCTCAGCTTCTGAGCCCAGTAGTTCTCGGGCCTGCGAGCGGTCGACCGGAGTGGGTTCTGCGGTCGACCGCCACACAGTTTTTCCTACCCTGTTTGTTTCTGCTGTATAATACACTCGTTAGAGCGCGTGCCTCGATCACCTAACTTTGATCTTCAGTTGTACTAAGCATCTATGCATGATAGATGGCCTGAAATACTTGCCTAGAATCACACGACGAGTTGAGTGTGAGTTTTGCATAAGTAAACCATACCTTGTATATCACTAATACTTGCTCAGTTGCACAGTCCTCGTGTTGGACTATAATCCATAGAAGTCCTCGTGTTGGACTATAACTCGTGTTGGACTATAATCCATAGAAGTCCTCGTGTTGGACTATAATCCATTTCAGTCCTCGTGTTGGGTAATTATCCATTTATCTCATGTGTTGGGAAATCTCTATATCTAATTCATGTACTGGACATCTGTATTAACCACGCATGCGACATTTCACATGAGTTATGACATGACACTTATGAAGAATATGACACCACATATATTGAGAGTAGGATATGACACTTATGTCAAATACGACATGGTAATTATGTGGGACGTTACATAATACAATATATATATGTTCGGAGACATGTTGTATTTTCTTTTTGCTTATTTCTGTTTACATATTAGACTCCGGGTTTGGTACTTAAGGATTTTCAATTTGGGATACAAGGTATATACATGAGGGTTTCCTTGTTTGGATTATTTCGCTCGACGTACCTATGCCCGTGTTGAAACTTCATAAGTACTAAGACCCATTGTTTATTGTTAGGGTAATTGTTATATATATATATATATACTTTGTGATAACTGTATTTTCCTTATACAACGAGCCCTCTCCCTTGGGGTTGGTTGTGATGTTGCTCGCTAGCGCTTTGACGCTCGTTGTCCCTCCCCCTTTCAGGTCATGAGCCAGGAGCCCGGAGAGTCGCAGGTTGATGGCGACACACTTTAGTGTTCGGCTATCTATTCTAGCTATGCTTTATTTTGGAGCTCCACTATAGACTTTGTGTAGATATTTGAGGACTTTATTCTAGATGTTGTAAAGGCTGTGTGCCTTATTTCCTTTATTCAGACTTGTTGTATTTGAGATGTATTAAGAACTCCAGTTTGTTCATTTTAGACATTGACTTTATATTCCTGTGTGTTGGATGATGAAATACTATTTGATCTTTATCGTTTCATCAGTTATCTCTTGTAGTATCTCTTACTTGCTTTTGTACCTACACCTATTATTGACCCACTAGAGTGATAAAATTGTGATGGTGAAACATGTTATTGCACGGTGTGGTGCATGGCAGGTTTGACATTCTTGGTTTCACCAAGGACTGCAGCCTTGTGTGAACCCAGGGGCGTCACAATTGTTGAATGATATTTTTCCTCGACCTACAGAATATGATGTTGATGATAATGTCGAGGATGATATTGGAGACAAAAGTGAAGATGATAACGAAGTTAAAGCTGAAGAGGTAGGAGATGTTGTGAGTGTCAAAAATATTAATGATATGCATTCCTCCGCAGAAATAAAGCGAATAATGGAGCTACTAGAAGATAGTGAAAAGGACTTATATGAGGGATGTACAGAGTACTCTAGATTTTCATTTATGCTGAAACTCCTTCATATTAAGACACATAGCGGTATGTCAGATAATTATTTTGAAATGCTTCTTGATTTGCTTCGGACTGTAATCCCTGGAAGAGAGAATAGCATACCCCAAACAACTTATCAAGCTGAGAAGATTGTCTCTGCTCTGGGTCTTGATTATAATAAGATTGAAGCATGTCCGAATGATTGTATTTTGTACCATAAAGCCAATAAAGACCTTCAAGAATGTCCGACATGTGGAGTTTCTTGGTGGAAACAACGCACAAATTCTTCAACAAGGATTACACCGGAGACAGGGATAACACAGAAGAAAATTCCAGTCAAAGTGCTTCGATATTTTCCATTGGCTCCTAGATTGTGAAGATTATACATGAACAAGGAAACGGCAAAGAATATGAGGTGGCATAAGGATGATCGAGTAGACGATGGTAAATTGAGACATCCTGCTGATGCTTTAGCTTGGAAGCATGTTGATAAAATTTATCCTCGTTTTGCCGAAGATTACAAAAATGTAAGACTGGGTCTATCAAGCGACGGATTCAATCCATTTGGGGTAATGAGCTCCGGCTGGTCTACATGGCCAGTTGTATTAATGTCATATAATTTATCACCATTGCTTTGTATGAAACAACCGTTTATGATACTTTCATTACTGATACCCGGTAAGCATGCTCCGGGAAATGATATTGATGTCTACTTAGAGCCTCTAATTGATGAGCTAAAACAATTATGGTCTGAGGGTATTTTTAGCATATGATGCCCATTTAAAAGACTCGTTTAGATTACGTGCTATTCTATTATGGACGATTAATGATTTTCCAGCTTATGCTAATCTGTCCGGGTACTCTACGAAGGGCAAGTGTGCTTGTCCTGTATGTGGTCCAGAATTTAAAGCTCTTCAATTACCACATAGCCGAAAGAGTTGTTATTGGTTTAATCGAAGGTGGTTGTCCTTGAGTCATAAGTACAGAAAATTATCAGCTAAGTTTGATGACACAGTTGAGAAAAGAATGAAGCCGTGTCAACTGACAGGTAATGAGATCGTTCAATTACTTGAGGGGTTTCCAAAAGTTGTGTTTGGAAAAAAACGACAGGTAATGAGATCGTTCAATTACTTGAGGGGTTTCCAAAAGTTGTGTTTGGAAAAAAACGCTATTCGACATTTAACCCGCTCGGAGTAAGAGATTACTTAAAGTTAAAAAAGCCATTGAAGCGTAAGCGAAAGGTCCGTAAAATGTAAGTTGAGGACGAAGCCCAAAAATTACCTAGAGGATGGACTAAATTTAGTATCTTATTTCAGCTACCTTACTGGCAGAATCTTAAAATCCGACACAACTTAGATGTTATGCATATTGAGAAAAATATATGTGATAACATAGTATCAACTCTCCTACAAGATGCAAACAAGTTGAAGGATGATCTACGGGCGCACCAAGATCTGACTGCTTTGAATATCCGAAATGATTTGCAAGCTCAAGACGTTGGCCTTAAAAAATTAAAGTTGCCTCCGTCTCGTGTTACAATGCCAAATGAGCAGATGCAACGAGTTTGTGAAATTCTCAAATCGGTAAAGTCGCCGGATGGTTACTCTGCTAACATTTCAAATAATGTTCAGGTGCAAGAGAGAAAACTCTTAGGTCTGAAGACACATGATTATCACGTCTTCTCCATTAATTGCTCCCTGTTGCAATTCGTAACAATATGAATAAAGAAGCGTCGAAGATTATTATTGAGTATTGTGGATTTTTCAGAAAATTATGCTCTAAAGTCATAAATGTAGATGACTTTAAGAAACTTGAAGCCGATGTCCGAGTTACTCTATGCAATATGAAAGTAATATTCCCTCCTTCATTTTTTACAATTATGGTCCATCTTACCCAGCATCTTGCAAGAGAGGCTAGAATCGCCGGTCCTGTTACTTATCATTGGATGTATCCGATTGAAAGGTAATTTATGATTTTTCTTATATTTATTAATTGTATACACGTTTTTAAAATTACCGTGCTAATAATTAACTTTTATGATTATAAGATACTTGGGCTGCATGAAAAACAATGTTCGCAATCGAGCTCGTCCCGAGGGCTCGATAGCTGAAGGATACGTGGCTAATGAATGCTTTGTGTTTACATCACGTTACATGCGTAAGAAGAAAACCACATCTCAAGCACCTCAAAAGGAGAGGAAGCGTGAAAAATACCCGAGATCTCTCTTAGATCAAATTCATGCATATGTGTTGGAAAACCTTGATATGTTCGAAGACTATCGAAGGTAACAAATAAAATCTATAATATAGATGGGAAATATTCATTTTACATATAGTTGTTTATCAATACAAACTTATATATTGTTTATATAGGCGACATCTGGAGAAGCTTAAGAATGAAACAACCGGTAGGAATGCAGCGCACAATATTCAGAAAAGATATAAGAAAGAATTTTCTGATTGGTTAAGAATTGATGTAAGTGTTTTACAATTAATTATTGAACATTCATAATATAACATCACCTAAATATTCTCAAATTGTTTGTCTTAGGTTGAAAAATCACTTCTTGATGATACTACATTACCAGATGAAATTATTATCCATGCACAACGTCCTTATCACGAAGTGAGACATTATAATGAGCATTTGGTGAATGGATATAAATTTCGAACGTTAGAGACCGATGATAGGAGAGTAACTCAAAATAGTGGGGTCATGGGCTTGTTTGCTCAATAATGTTTTTCAAGTATAAGAGATCAGAATCCAATTCTAGCTGACATATTCTATTATGGCCAATTAGAAGATATTATTGAGGTAATTTATGGGTTTGGTAAACCAAAACAATGTACTTACACGATGT